ATTTTTCAATCTTTTTCATACGTTGTTGGAACTGAAATCAATGAATAGAGGGTATTGTAAGAATATTTATCCGATTTAATCGTATATCGGTGCAGCGGAATGATCGAGATTACATATCTCTAGCAATTGCTTGTGTATGTTTGAGTTATTTGAATAACTTGTAGAAAACAACGATGAAGGCTTCGACACGTTCATTTTTATTGGTTAGGATCTTCTAGGCTCTTTCACTTTCTCTTTAGATGGTGTTAGATTCAGTAAGTTGTAAAGTGATGAGCCTAGGGACCTTTTAAAACCAATGGTACCCTTTGGCAGAAAGGTACATTTTCATATATGGTATCTATTGGTATATGGTACCTTTTGATAAAAAGGTAGAATGTCTACTTATTAATTCTGTCCATCATAGAATTAACTGAGAAAATAAAATACTAACATTCTCCCACTTGGTCCATATGTTACTATATCCAAAATCATAGAATACAAAGAACACAAATCATTGCGATATGTCCTCTAAAATTGAGTAGTATCTTCCATCTATTACAATGCACTTTGATCCATAAACAACTGCCTTTTAACTTAATGAATAAAACTCAATGTTTATTCTAGGTCCAAACATAAATGATAATTCTCAAGATAAATGTGCACAAATTAAGTGAGACAATATCAATAAAATTTTCAATGTAACAAGTAACAACAAATGTACGTACAACCAAATGTTACATACTAGAACCGAGTCCCATTCGTACTACATGATCCTTAAAATTCTTAGGTGGCATACCCTTAGTCAAAGGATCAACAATCATTAATTCAGTGCTAATGTGCTCAATGACCACTTTTTCTTCTTTCACACGTTCCCTCACGGCTAAGTACTTGATGTCGATGTGTTTACTTCGACTTCCACTTTTATTATTCTTAGCCATGAATACCGCAGCTGAATTATCACAATGTAGTCTCAATGGCTTAGATATAGAATTAACAATTCTAAGCCCATATATGAAACTTTTTAACCATACACCATGACTAGTAGCTTCAAAACACGATACGAACTCCACTTCCATTGTCGAGGTAGCGGTCAAGGTTTGTTTGGCACTTCTCCAGGATATAGCTCCGCTGGCCAACATGAAAAGATATCCAGATGTGGATTTTCGTGAATCAATGCAGCCAGCAAAGTCAGAATCTGAGTAACCAGTCACCTCCAAATTTTCAGTTCGTCTATAAAAACATGAGCATATAATCTTTTGTTCCTTGAAGGTACCTTAGCACCTTCTTTGCAGCTCTTTAATGGTCAATACCTTAGCACCTTCTTTGCAGCTCTCCAATGGTCAACATTCCAACAACAAATGCAATGTCTGGCCTGGTACAGACCTGAGCATACATAATGCTTCCAACAGCTGAAGCATATGGAATGGACTTCATTTGTTCACGTTCGAGGTCAATTTTTGGACATTGATTCAAATTCAATCTACCACCTTTTATAATTGGGGCTACGCTTGGTGAACAATCTTTCATATGAAATCTCTCTAAAACTTTATTAATATAGGCCTCTTGAGACAAACCTAAAATGCCTCGAGATCTGTCTCTATGAATCTTAATGCCAATGACATAAGACGCATCACCCATATCTTTCATATCAAAGCTTTTAGAGAGAAATTGTTTCACCTCAAATAGCATACCCTTATCATAGTTGCAAGTAGTATATCATCAACATATAGAACTAGAAAACATATCTTGCTCCCACTAACCTTTTGGTATATACATTGATCCATGATGTTTTCTTCAAAACCAAATGAAGTGATAACTTCATGAAACTTAAAATACCACTGTAGAGAGGCTTGTTTCAGCCCATATATTGATTTATTAAGCTTTCAAACTAAATGCTCACCCTTACTAGAGGAAAACCCTTCAGGTTGTTTCATATAAACATCCTCCAGTAAATCACCATTAAGGAATGTCGTTTTCACATCCATTTGATGTAACTCAAAATCAAAATTAGCTACTAATGCCATAATAACTCGAAGCGAATCTTTCTTAGATATCGGAGAGAAAGTCTCCATGTAATCAATTCCTTCTCTTTGAGTGAATCCTTTTGCAACAAAACTTGCTTTATATCTTTCGATGTTGTCTTGTGAATCTTTTTTGGTTTTGAAAACCCATTTACAACCAATAGGTTTCACACCTTTAGGAAACTCGATGAGATTCCAGACTTTGGTTGATGCCATAGAATTCAACTCTTCTTTCATGGCAGTATACCATAAGTTTGATTGATTCGAACTTATAGCTTGTGAAAACGTCTCAGGATCATTTTCAGCTCCAATATTGTAGTCACTCTCTTGCAAATACACAAAATAATCATTAGGAATTGCTGACTTTCTTGAGCGAGTAGATCTCCTTAGTTCTTGATCAACAACTTCCCGATTTCCAGAATTTTGTTCAATTGGATCAGAAATATGTTGAACTTCAGGATCTACAAGATGTGGTTCAACATTTTGTGAAATTTTCAATATCGGTTGTTCAATATACGCTTGTACTTGAGGCATATTATTGACAACAGTCATGCTATCACTTGCAATGAGATTTCTAGAATAGTTTCTCTCAGAACTAATGTCTAAAGATTGACTGCTCCCACTGATCAAGTAATTTTCAAGAAATTTTGCATTTCTTGATTCCACAAACCTACTGTTATGAGATAGACAGTAAAATCTATATCCCTTAGACCTTTCGGCATATCCAACGAAATACCCATTTAATGTCCTCGGGTCCAACATCTTTTCTTGAGGATTGTAAACTCTCACTTCAGACGGACATCCCCAATCACGTACATGTTGCAAACTCGGTTTCCAACCTTTGAATAACTCAAATGGAGTCTTTGAGACTGCCTTAGTTGGAACTCTGTTCAATATGTACACAGCCGTTTTGAGAGCTTCATTCCACAAAAACTTAGGAAGTTTGGAACTAGCGATCATACTTCGCACCATGTCCAATAATGTTCGATTTCTTCTTTCAGCTACACCATTTTGATCCGGAGATCCTGACATGGTATATTGGGCAACAATCCCATTTTCTTGAAGAAACCTAGTAAAAGGACCAGATGCTTGTCCACTTTCAGTGTATCTACCATAGTACTCACCACCTCTATCTGATCTCACGATTTTTATTTGCTTTCCGCATTGTTTCTCTACTTCAGCTTTAAAAACATTAAAAGCATTACGTGTTTCATTCTTATTCTGAAGCAAGTAGAGATACATAAAACGTGAATAATCATCAATAAATGTGATAAAGTACTTATCACGATATGCATCTATATCAGGACTACAAATATTCGTATGAATTATTTTCAATATTTCAGAACTCCTCTCGACACCTTTCTTTGACTTGTTAGTTTGCTTGCCTTTAATGCAATCTATACAAGTCTCAAAATCAGAGAAATCTAGAGTATTAAGTACTCCATCACTTACTAATCTCTTGATCCTGTCAATGGAGATATGACCTAATCTCCGATGCCACAAGATAGAAGAATCTTCATTCATAACACATCTTTTAATACCAGCATTATTATGAACGTACATAACTTTATAATTATCCTCATTTGCAAATTAAGTCGAAGATAGTATTCCACTACCAATAACATTTGATTGAAAAGATAAACTAAAATCTGAGTTTGAAAAGTTAAAAGAAAAACCACACTTTAATAGTCTAGATACTGAAATCAAGTTCCTAGCAAAACTAGGAATATAAAAAGTCTTTTCCAACTACTTAAAATTAGTTTGCACGTTCCTACTGCTTCCACATGTGAGGGCATCTTGTTTCCTGAATAGATGCTATGCTCACTTCCCACTGGCTTCCGCAGGTTTAGCAATCCCTGCAAGGAATTGGTAACATGGATTGTAGAGCCAGAATCAATCCACCATGTGTTATGATTAACATCAACCATATTGGATTCATAACAAACAAAAGAAGTTGATTACCTTTCTTCTCAAGTCACTTTTGGAACTTAGGACAATCTTTCTTCACGTGATTTTTCTTTTTATAGAAAAATCACTTGATTTCCTTCTTAATTTCCCTTTGAGGAGGAATTTTATCCTTCTTTGGCTTGAAAATGTCTTTTCTTTCCCGATGTACTAGTCATATTCACTTGCTCACCCTCTTCCATAGCCAAACGTCCTTCTTCCTGAACGTACATGGTCATCAATTCATTTATGGACCATTTATCCTTATGTGTGTTGTAGGATATCTTAAAAGGACCATATTGATAAGGAAGAGTGCACAAAATGAAGTGAACTAGGAAAGAGTCCGACATCTCAACTTCAAGTGTCTTTAGTTGAGCCGCTATATCCCTCATGCGCATGATGTGCTCACGCACACCTCTAATTCTGGTAAGCTTTAGAGAAGAGAACTTCATTATAAGGGTACTGGCCAATGCCTTGTCAGAAGACACAAACTGATCATCAATTGCCTTCAACAAGACACGAACATTGTCATATTGCTCGACTGAACCCCGGATCCCAGCAGAAATTTTGGTCTTTATAAACATAACGCAGAGACGATTAGATCGTTCCCACCTTTCATAAAGAACCACTTCGGCTGGGGTGCTTTTATCAGTTATAGCAGTCGGTTCGTCCTTCCTAATGTCATAGTCAATGTCCATACACCCCAAATGAAGAAGTATTTTCTCCTTTCAAATTTTATAATTGTCCCTATTGAGCTCAGGAACATCAATTTTCATATCAGAGTGATTAACATGTGAATAACTGCAACATATACAATAAGCATGTTCATATTCACAAAATTTGAAACTAAGAAAATAATATGACATGTTATATCAATATAAAACACGTCTAAACATAAATCCAGAGACATAAAACTTGCCTGTGGGCTAAAGTTCTAATTCAATTAGATTTACAAACTTCATGATAAAACTATCAAATTACCACCATTTTCTAATCCCTGTGGGCAAA